CTCTCTCTCTCTCTCTCTCTCTCTCTCTCTCTCTCTCTCTCTCTCTCTCTCTCTCTCTCTCTCTCTGTGTGTGTGTGTGTGGGCGTGTGTGTGCGCGTGCACGAAACTGGGTGATCTAGCCGTGAGCAGGTTGAAGAGAGTCCTAACGTGGTCCCAGGTTCAAATCCTGCTATACCCATACGGCCAGGAAGTGGGGTAGACATTCTTATACTCCTTTAAGGCAACTAGCTTGTATACGTATTCCATTGTATACATATTCCAGAGAGAAACGGCTATGGCGAAAATTGGTTTACACACCACACTTAAGGTAGCGAAATTCCTTGTCGGGTAAGTTCCGACCTGCACGAAAGGCATAACGATCTGAGCGCTGTCTCGGGGAGAGAGACTCGGTGAAATAGACATGTCTGTGAAGGTGCGGAATGTAACGTTTCCCCTTTATGTATACGGAACAAGTTGTGTCTGCTTTGGGAATGGGTTACAGGTTACTTGTGTGTTTATCCTCAACTTGACTGTAGCTTGCCAACCTGCATCTGTCACAGGGAACTGGGTAAGTTCAGAGACCGTGTGAACACATCAAGCAGAAGAAAAAGGCCAGCTGGCAATACATGTAGTAGGTGAATGCAAGAGGGACAGAGAAGAGGAGGTTAAGAGGGAGAGAGGGAAGAGGAAAAGTGGTCGAGAGTGAGAAAGGGAAGGGAGGGGAGGGGTCGGTGAGGAAAGAGGCAGACAGAGGCAGACGAAGAGAGGGGTAGGAGGGCGAGGGAGCAGTGCGCAAGCCGGAAGCGGAAGAGGAAAGCAAAGTACGAAGGATGGACGACCCGGAACTTGAGGTGATTCGGCAGAGAAGGATGCAAGAGTTGATGGGCGGGAGGGGTATGGGAGGAGCAGGAGGAGGAGGAGGAGGAGGGGGCATGCAGTCGCGCGAGCAGCACCAAGCTCAAGAGGAACAGAGGAGGGAAGCCGAAGAACGACGACAGGCGATGCTGGTCCAGATTTTGTCTCCTGAAGCGAGAGAGCGTCTTGCGCGAATCGCTCTCGTCAAGCCCGACAAGGCCCGGAGCGTGGAGGACCTCCTGCTGCAGGGTGCTCGGTTCGGGAAGATCACTTCGAAGGTCACCGAAGAGCGTCTGGTAATGATGCTGGAACAGCTCAGCGAACACGAGCCGAAGCCGACAAGGGTGACAATTCAAAGGAGAAGGACATCGCTTGATGACGATTTTTAGGGATCAACGGTGAAATGCCTATTATGTGCCCTGAGGAGCACTGCATGTTCCGTTCCTCTCAGGTGCTTGTCGCCAGTATGTGCCTGACACGTGTCCATGCACGGGGATGTTTAGTGTGCGAGGAGAATACTGATGGAAGCGATAAACGGACAAGAACACAGTGACGATGATCGTGGCCAACAGTGATGATGGCGATGACACTGCTGCTACCAACGACAGTGAAGAAGAAGACAATGACAACGCCGCCGCCATTGCCGACGACACAGAAGAAGAAGAAGAAGAAGAAGAAGAAGAAGAAGAAGAAGAAGAAGAAGAAAGGGTGTACTAAATCAGATGCAGAAGGAGTAAAGGGTGGGAGTGAATTAGACACAGGAGAAGGAAAAGCTGCTGGCAGAATTGGGTTTCTGTATCGGTAAAAGTTTTGGCAGTTCATGAGCAATGAACCAGCCATGGGAGTTTGTTGTTGTTGTTGTTGTTCTTTTTTTTTTTTTTTAAGTTTTTTTTCCTTTTTTTTTTTGCCATGGGAGTTTGTTCGGATGTCATGCCTGAAATCCTTTTTTTTTAATCGACTGATACATTCTAGAACTTTCTCTCTTTCTCTCTCTCTCTCTCTCTCTCTCTCTCTCTCTCTCTCTCTCTCTCTCTCTCTCTCTCTCTCTCTCTCTCTCTCTCTCTC